AATTTATTTTATTTTAGTTTATTAATTTTATTTAATTTTATTTATTTTATGTCAATAACACTTACCTCTCCGAACCTGTAGAATTAGATCCAAGACTATCGATGTATGTGAGACAAGCACCATGATAGTATGCTTCTTCGATCGTTAATTTCGATAACAAGGTGCCATCAGTTGATACATTTATAAAATTCACCCAAGTGAGCACATCTCGTATGCTCACAGTAAACTTCTTGCCCACTTCGGTGGTTTGTAACCATTCAGTGAACTTCAATATTGCATTGGCGATGAACTCTCTCGTTTGCAAATCAATGCAAAGATTATGTATTATTATATCACGTAGATCGCTTCTGGCCATGCAACCTTCGCACCATACTTCAGTGAAGCGATTTCGTAAAGCCGGCGAGAGCTCTTTCTTACCGTAATCACCACCGGGATTCATAGTCCCGACAAATATGAATTTCTCGTCAGCTACGATCACGGTGTTCCCTTCACCGTGCAAAGATTCGATTCCTTTCTCAGCCAATAAAAGACTACGTTCCGGTTCTGTACAGAAAGATTAAATATATCATAAATAAACTTCATAATTAGATAAATCGATCCTGTAAATCTTTTTAATAATTATATATACAAATGAAAACATACACGATTTGTATTTGATATCTATTTCCTATTTATACGTACCTAAGAGTGAATTTAATCGTTCCAAAACACTATCATCAGCCAATGAAATTTCGTCAGCTAAAAATAGATCGCCATTACGCATAGCATTTATCAAAGGACCATCCACCCATTCAAAGAGCTTCTGATCATCCTCGACATGATCTCGAACAGGTCGCAAATTTCCTAGAAAATCAGATGATTCGGTGTGCATATGGCAGTTTACACTACGCATAGCTTGGCCGTTGATGACTGCGATTAATTGACAGACTGTAGTTTTGCCTCCACCAGTTTCTCCGACCAGCAACACTGGTTCCTTGAATTGACAGGATTTTTTCATCAAAACCGCTATTCGACGCATGTGATAAGTCCATACAATATGACCGAAATCGGAAATATTGTTCTTCAAGATTTCCTCCAAAATGTGCCTCGTAACTGGCGAAGTCTTATCGTTTAGCGTAAACAAGTTATCGGGATCCACGTCTTTTTTTAAATGTTTTCTTATTACTTGTCTTATTTCATCTGCTTCTTCTACTTTGCGGACTTTAGCTGCGAGAACGAGATAGCCCTCGTCTGCCAAATGTTGACTCCAATCATATAATTTGTTGCCTATGTCAGGTGCTAATCTATATCTTTCGCCCCAACGAAATAGATCTCGTAAAGTTATAAATCCCTTTTTACCAGCGAAAGTCGCCGTACTTTTACGTCTTGTTTGAAGATCTGTCATTACATTAATTACTTGTTTACAGTATGACTCTGGCATACAGCATCTCTGATTAAGTATTATCTGTAATTCATTTGGCGGTATCTCGTCGAAGTGTAATTCTATAAATCGATTCCTGAACGCTCGTGACAGAACTTTTCGGCCACCGTAGAGTCCAGGAGGATTTTGCGTCGCAAATAACATAAAATGTTCGTGCGCTTTAACTACTTGTTGCGTCTCAGGTATGAACAATTCCCTGTTATCATCGAGAACTCGATTCAGGGCTTCTAGAACATCACTCGGGGCTAGATTTAACTCGTCCAAAATAATCCAATATCCCTTGCGCATTGCATCAACTAGGATACCTTCCTTGAACACTAATTTTCCAGTTTCATCAGCGATATAACTTCCGACATATTCTTGTAGATCTGTGTGCTCATGATTGTTTATACGGACACAAACATGTCCTGTGATTTTCGCTAAATAAGTAATTAAACTGGTCTTGCCTACTGATGTGTCGCCTTGTAACAAAACTGGGATTTTTCCAATTGACACGACTCTTACTAAATCTTTCAAATTTCTTCTAACGGAATCAGTCAATATGTAGTTACTAGGTGTTTCAGGCATTAAACTGCCTTGCAGGATCCAGTATCCTTCAATATATATATAATCTTCTCCTGGACTGCATTTCGGTTTTGGTATAGGAATGCCAAGAATTTCTTTAATGTTCTTGTTGTCAAGAATAGCTTTCGCGATCATTCTTTGTACAATTGGATAAGAATTGTAATCCAGTTGCGTCAGAAAACTCAAAGAGAAGGATTCATACAAAGATCTTAAAACATTGCCACAAGGATTTGATGCAGAAATGTACAATGCGCGACATAGTGTTCTCAAACTGTAATGTGGTTTATGAGCTGTGCCATCGAACAATGTACTCATAGCTTCCTTCCTAACATTTAAGTAGAACTTCACGATCGCTTTATGTTTCTCTGGCAAGTTTAGTTCCGCTAAGTAAGAATTTACAAGCAATTCAAGATCCGATTGCTCAGTCAACTCATCGACGTAAAATTCGGTGAATCTATTTCTCAAACCAACCGGTAGGTCTCTTTTGCCGACATCCGTGGCCGGATTCATGCAGGCAAACACTGTAAAGTCAGGATGTCTTTTCACAGGTTCTCCATCACCGCGCTCCAGTAATGACAAAGACTCCGAAGAACCTTCCAATAAACCGGAAAGACATTCCAATGTTTCTGCATTTGCTAGATTAATCTCATCTAAAAGAACCCAATAACCGTCTCGCAAAGCCCTGACCAAACTCCCTTCTATAAAGGAGAACGCTAGTGCATATTGACTCTTCACTTGAGTTCCCAGCTTGTTTAGTTTCTCCAGCATCTTTTCCCACTTCTTCAGCATATTTAAATCAGCTTGGATATCGTCTTGATCGAACTTCTTTTTCTCTTGTTTAAAATGTTTTGAAGTGTCTTTCCTAAATGTACTATCTTCGAGGTACTTTTCACATTTATTTCTCAATCTCTTCACAGCAGCATGTGCACTATGACTCATCAAAATAATAAGATTCTTCCATTTTTGTTGCTTGTGACACAGAGCAATATGTTCGAGAAACTTCTTATTTGACTCAATCATGAAGTAAGAGCGGAACAGGATCTCGAACTCTTCCCGGATAGGCGAGATTAAGAACTTTAGATCGACTGGTTTATAACCACCTAATAAATCTGCGCTCTCGCTTTGTTGATTCATATTTATAACTATCAATTTATGACCGATACTCCTTGCTAAGTACTGAATTGAACTTGTTTTTCCAGTACCAGTCTCACCAACCAGCAGCACGGGCTCCTTCTGTTTGATGCAGATAGCTATGCGCTCCAATAAACATGCAGAAGGTCTTGTAAAGGAAAAATGAATCTTTTCTATATCTATTCTTGCATATTGTGCTTTTTTACGAGTCAACTTTGCTCTGCCTGCTATCAAAAACTCAGGAAGTAAGTCTATGGACGGTTTATACATATTGCAAAAGTACTCCGCCTTCAGCATTATAATGCCAAGTTTACGAGCTATTGCCTTTGCCAAATTCAATCGTTGCTCTATAAAAGATAATACGATTAAGGATACTGAAAACATTTTTAAATATTAAAAAATAGAAAATAAAAATAATTTATCAATATTTATAAATGTATTTACAATTGATAGATAAAAGAGACTAAAACATATTTTATACTGTAATATGATTAAACAGAAGCATAAGGGAGAAATTAATACCTTGATTAGGCACAGAACAACAAAAGACATCTAGAGCATCTTGAAATATTTTCAATAGAGAATCTGATGATGAAACATTGAAATCAACGATAGCTCTGGAACACCATTTTATTAAATCTCGTGTTGATGTCTGCCGGCCAATCTTCAGTGACACTATAGCATCATATGTATTACTTTCACTATCATGATCTCCCACGGAAAACAACAAAAATACATCTATTATTTTAATAGCAATTGTATTCAATACTGGAAACAGCGTTTGGACTAAAGTCACTAATTCGTCTGTGGACAGAGGCTCTACGTTTAGGCATAGCCAATGTTTTTGCAACAAATTTGAAGATCCTGTAACATATTTTTGAATTCCCGTAATGGACGTCATTAATCGCTGCGTAACAAACAACTGAAATCCACTGTTGACATAAATAGTATCGCGATATCCAGGTACGCAGAGCGTTCCAGTTTCCATCAAATTGCTCAAGATGCTGGCCACATCGAGGGCAGTGCTATCCACATCCTCCAAGAGTAGCCATTTACCAGCAATAACTGCTTGTGTGAGAACACCTGGTTGCCAAACAAATTCACCAGGTACATCGGTACACCTATACATTCCCAGCAGCATTTTCGAATCGGTCTGATCACCTAGTTGCATTTTAATAAAGTTCGACGTGTCATGTCCAGTAACTCTGGCTAAATACTCTACTAGAGCTGTTTTACCGCAACCAACTGGTCCTTGCAGACAAATGCATTTTCTGGAGCCTATAGCTATGGCCAAACTTTGCAGATTTTTTTTCGTGGAAGAAACTGGAACTAAATTATAAGTGTTCTGAGAAGAATTCCTGCTGAGAGTGGGTAATAAGATGCCACCAACGGATACAATAGATGAAATATTTTTAACTATATCTTCCATTGACTCAAAGCCGGCGCAGATAATATTAGTATTTATGCTTCTATCTTCATAATCAATTAAAAATTGTTTAAAGTTTGGAATGAGTGTTTGAGCACATGATAATCTTGTTGATTCAGACATGTTCAAAACTATTGCTATACATTTTAAGGCAACCCTGAAATCAAATTAATATTAAATTCCTTACTTTCCAGCAATTATATAGATAATTAAAAATATATTAAGATATATACTACATATATTTAAAAAAAAATTTTTTATTATTAAGTTTCTTGTAATATACGTACCATTTTATCCTGTCATCTGCATTTGTTAAATACTTGTAAAATCTAGACCAATTCCATTTATGCTTAAAATGATTAACAGCAGACTGCAAAATACTATAACATGCGATAACAATGTCACATTCAGATACTTCTGAGATATATGAAAATTTTCTTCGTTTCTTTAGGGGTATAACTACATCAAAAGATTCATCAAAAAATTCGAATGGAGCTGGATTAATATCAAAATAGTGTAAAACATAGCTGAAATAAAAAAAAAATATTTTACAACATATATTAATCGTTTCACAATAAAGAATATTAATAATTAACATTTAGAAATTAAATAATTAAGAGTTAATTAATTTTTACATAATAAACTTTTTATTGTAAGAAGTTTTTATATAAAAAAATATTTGTACAACACAACACATATTTATTGGTATAATATATTTTTGGATATATTAATATACATACATTAGTAAATCTTGATTAACATCAAGTAGCTTTCCTAATATAACACAATTTAATCTGTGAATAATATTCTTGTCTATTAATGCCGATGATTGTATGTCTTCTATAGGTATGGCTACAGAAATAAGGCCTAATAACAATTCTGGGAAACAATCAATAACATCTTTTGTGCATTCTGGTTGCATCAAAAATTCACATAATATTTCCAAAATTGTATCTGGCTTAAGTTTACTAAGTTTCTGTAAAAAATAAATTATTAAACTTGCATCTATTATAAACATACACTTTTCAAAGGATTAAAATTACTAAGTAATAATTAGGAAGATCTGCAGGAAAAGCAATATAAAAATAGTCATATTTACTTCAAAAGGTAAGAATCTCTGTTTATATTTTTGATCCCGTTCACAGAAAATTGTCAAATTCTCAGTTAACATTTTGTACTATTTTGTTTATATAGGAAAGATAAAATAATTATTTGCAAAAATATAGTGCACATACATTTATCCGAACAAAACAGGTTACAATCAAACCATGTGTCATGTGCCATGCCCGGGATTTTAGCTATTACCAGAGACAAACTTGAGAGAGGACATGACAGTCCAAAATCTGTAATCGCAAAATGTTGCTGCGCACTACTGCTCTCTGACAAAGAGGATAGAAACTACATAACAACATAACGTCCACTTTTCTTTCGGTACTTCGTCCATTTTTCAAGATTAGAGATGATAAATGGATATTTGATTCATATAATCGTGTGCTGCATGATGTGTAACATGATTACATGAACCAAATATCATCTCCGGGACTTCGCACAATAAAAGGAACAGAGAACAGAGAATAAAAATGTCAACCTATTAGAAATTGTATTCCACAATGCATGATTTCTGATAGGTTGCAATTCCTATTCTTTGTTTTCTGTTCCTTTTATTGTGCGGAGCACTTATTTTATTTTGAAGCGCCTCTATGTCCACAAAATATGAATATTAAATTACGTAGTCAATCCATAATTCGATCGGTAATATCTACGATTTTTTGATTATATTAGGTGTACAACTTTGCTTCCGCTGTTTTTCTATGGATGGCTTTAGCGATAAGTGGTGGTCGAAATAAATAGATCATAGACGTCATACAATAAACTTGGGCATCTGTCAACATAACCCCATAGAAACATTAGTCGATTTGTGTCTGCATCATAAAGTTATTTTCGATTGAAAATGTCAGTTTACGAGCCAAATTCTCGTCATTTGCGGGAGGTTTTAATTTTTTGCTTCAATATGAAGAAATCTGCGGCTGAGGCTCATCGAATGCTCTCAAATACTTATGGTGAGGCCGCTATTAGTGAAAGAATGTGTCGTGAGTGGTTTCAACGCTTCAAGAACGGTGATTTTGACGTCGAAGACCGGCATAGCGGTGAAAGAGAGGTTTTCGAAGATGCAGAATTGGAGGCATTACTTGAGCAAGACTCGTGTCAAAATCAAGAAGAATTGGCACGATCATTGGGAGTGACTCAACAAGCCATTTCAAAACGCCTCAAAGCCATGGGAATGATTCAGAAGCAAGGAAATTGGGTGCCGTACGAATTGAAGCCGAAAGATGTTGAACGGCGTTTGTTTGCTTGTGAACAGCTGCTTGAAAGGCAAAGATGGAAGGAATTTCTGCATCGCATAGTGACTGGGGACGAAAAATGGGTTCATTACGATAATCCCAAGCGCAGAAAATCATGGGGAGTTCCCGGCCATGCTTCCACGTCGACGGCCAAACCGAATATTCACGGCTCCAAGGTTATGCTCTGTATTTGGTGGGACCAGCTCGGCGTAGTGTATTATGGACTGTTAAAACCGACTGAAACAATCACAGGCGATCGATATCGAACGCAATTGATGCGTTTGAATCGAGCATTGAAAGACAAACGGCCGCAATACAACGAGCGACACGATAAAGTGATTTTGCAGCATGCTCGACCCCATGTTGCGAAAGTGATCATGACATACTTGGAAACGTTGAAATGGGAAGCCCCCCCCCGCCGTATTCTCCAGACGTTGTTCCCTCTGACTATCACTTGTTTCGATCAATGGCACACGGCCTGGCTGACCAGCACTTCCGGGCTTATGAAGAAGTAAAAAATTGGATCGATTCGTGGATAGCCTCAAAAGATGACCAGTTTTTTCGATGCGGGATTTGTACGCTACCCGAAGGATGGGAGAAAGTAGTGGCCAGCGATGGACAATACTTTGAATCATAAATGTATAACCAGTTTTTTACAATAAAGCCTCGAATTTCGGAAAAAAATGGCGGAAGCAAAGTTGTACACCTAATAGTCTTCACTATGTCCACGAATTTCGATCCGATAAACAAAGACGAACAATTAATGGCTTAGTTTACATTGTGAAAATATTGATACGCGTATTTTGATACGCATCACTGTTTTAATATTTAGTAATAGGTATATTTACACCTATTACCTGTATTAAAGGAAAAAATAAAGATACCATTTCATGCAACGAAGTTTCACTGGCGAAGACCCTCCACTCCGTCGATTCGAGCGAAAATACATAGCGAGCGAAGCTTCGCTCATTCAACACTTCAAACTATTAGCGAAGAAACTCAGCGAAGCCTGCTACCTGCTTTCTTTAATATTATAATATTATTCTAATATTATTCTAATATATTATTATATTTATTGTTGTATAAATAATGATATAATATATAATATAATATAATATAATAACAAATTGC